GGAGCTTGCGGGGATGGGTGGGGTCCTTGGAGCGCATGTGCTGGATGTAGACCTGGGGCAGAGCATTGCCGTGGGGTCCTGGCCCTCACCCACCTCTGGGGTTGGTATTCCCCAGCCCAGAGCTCTGCAGCACCCAGGTCAGGGCCCTGAGGGGAGATGGAAGTGCCCAAATCCTCCCCCATGCAGTCCCAGGATGGAGGGGGGTCTTACCTGGCAGGCCTTGAGGCTCAGCTTGATCTCCACCTGGCTGGTCTGGGTGCCCACCCACATGTAGACCTGCAGAAAGGATCAGCAGCTGGGCTCAGCCCACAGAGCCACTGGAAGGTCTGGCCCAGGAGAGCCTCATGTCCCCAGCTCACCTCCCGCCCATTGTCCAGCAGCATGATGTCATCATCAGCCAGGTCATCCTGGCAGAAATCTGAGCACTTTTCTGACACGGAGAAATAACCTTTCTCATTGGAGCACCTGCAGGGAGATGGACAGGGACAGCATCAGGCATGGTTTGTTAGGACTTGGCTCATGCAGAGGGCAGGGATGTGATGGAGAAGCTGTTCTGGCTGGTTGGTTCCCAAAGGGGATGGGCTCTGAGGCCAGTGCCCACCTGAAGAGCCGTGAGTGCTTCATGTAGTCAGCATCTTCATCGTACGGCTTCTGGCCCCCAATGCCCACCCAGAAGAAGTTCTCAGGTTCTTCTCCCTCGTTGATGACCTGAAAGGGGAAGAACAGGGCTGAGTGTGGCCCCGGTGGTCACTGTCACTCAGGTAAGGTGGCACTGAGCCCGGCTCACCTGTTTGCTGTAGGAGTCATCAAACATGTGGTTCATGATGTCCTCAGCCAGCTTGGCCTCGTCGGGGTCAGCTGCCCGGCCCACCCAGGTGTAGACAATGCCCTGGTTGTCCGTGCTCTCAAAAGGCACCTGGGGGACAGTGGGGTCAGGGCTGCCCAGAGGGGCAGGAGGGCCCCCAGGCAGCCCTGAGGATGCTCAGTACCTTGAGGATGAAGCAGAACTCGGAGTTGAGCAGAGCAGCGTCCGTGTTGATCTGGATGCACCTGGAGATGAAGCCCCCCCCGACAAGGCACAAATCAGGGAGAGCTGGCAGCTGTGCCCACCAGCAGGTATCCCCTGTGGATGTGGCACCCGTGGGTGCTGCCTGGCACTGACCTGGTGCAGAGGGCCCCGCCGTTGGTGCGGATGTGGTACAGGCTGGGCTGGGGGGTGCTGACCCTGTCCTTCCTCTTGCCCCGGTGGATCACAAACCTCCTCTTGAAGTGCGAGAGGAACTTGGGGTTCTCCTGCTGCTGGGTCATGCGCACCACCTGCACAGGGGTGGGGGTCAGAAGGGGCATTGGCACTTCCCAAACACAGCTCCAAGCCCCAGCTGCACCCCCCTGCCAGCTCCCATCTTTGCTGCTGTCCCCTGCCTCAGCCTGAGGGGCAGAGAGGGGATGGAGAAGAAGAGGGGCAAAGCTGGGGTACCCCTGTGTCACCCCTAAACTGTGTCACCTCCAGTTTGCCACGGAAGTGACTCTCAAACTTCTTCTGGAGGCTGAAGGTGAAGGTGAGCCAGCCCATGTTGGAGGCCTCCCGGCCCTGCCAGAAGTAGACGATGCACTGGGAGTCTTCCTCAGGCTGCTTCTCCTCCTCTTCTTCTTCACCCTCCTCTTCCCCTTTGCCTTCACCCTTCTTCTTTTTCTCCTCATCCTCCTCGTACTCCACTGGCACCCAGTACCTGAGGGTGGGAACAGGGAGTGATGTGAGGGGTGGGACAGTCGGGAGGGCTGGGCAGGGACGTTGGGGACAAGGTGGTCCAGCAGCCCCTGAGAGGGGACAAACCAGCTGTCACCTGCACAGGAAGACGTAGCAGTCGTGGGTGTGGAAGTGGCCAAACTCCTCCTCGGGCAGGCGAGTGAATTTCTTGCCCTCCAGCACGAAGCCCTCCATGCCATCCAGGTCCTCGTTCCACTCCTCCATCAGCTGCTCCGCCTGTGGCCCCCACGAGCTGTGTCAGCCCCCAGCCCCTCCATCAGCACCCAGCCCAGGCCATGGGGGATCCATGGGGGGCTCCAGCCCTACCTCGCTGAGGGGCATGGGGGGCTGGCGGGGGAGGAAGAGCGCGGTGAGGTCGGCCTTCATCTGGTCCTTCTTCTCGGCGTCCTTGCGCACCTTGCCGGCCAGGCCCCCGTCCTGCAGCACGGTCTCGGCGTTCCGCGTGTAATCCACGCGCAGCACGTCATCCCAGTTCTTGAACTTGGACTTGAACACCTGCAGCACACAATCACTAAGGCTGGGAAAGACCTCCAAGAACATCAAATCCAACCTGTGACCCATCCCCGCCTCATCAACTGGACCAGAGCAGCGGGTGCCACGTCCAGTCCTTCAAGGTGTAAATTGGGGAGCAGATAACAGACCCTCGGCCTCAGCCCCCTCCCAGGCACCCAGCACCCATCTGAGGGGTCCGTGCCCCACCTGGCACTCGGTGCCCTCCAGGTTCCTGGTGACCATGGCGTGCTTGGGCCGGTGCAGCATGGTGCACAGCTCCTGGCTCAGCTTCAGCGCCGCCGCCCGCACCAGCCGCGAGGATTTCCTCCCGATCCAGATGAAGACGTCGGACCAGCAGTCCAGGATGTACACGCTCTTGGTGTCCAGCAGGCTCTGCAGCTGAGGGCACCGCAGGGGACAGGGGTCAGGCACCTGCAGGCTTTCCCAGCTGGAAATCACCCAGCCAGCTCCCAGCAGAGCAGAGCATCCCCCAGCCAGGCGCTGCTGGCTGAACCTCCCTCTCCCAGGGCACGGCTGGAGGCACAAGGGGCATGGAACCAGTCCCACTGGTCAGACTGGGAGAACCTCCCCGCCCCATCCTACCAGGCGCATCTCTGGCATCAGATCAGCCTTCAGCCTCTTCTTGTGCTCCACAGAGAGCTTGTAGTTGATCTGGGGAAGCTCCAGGTAGCCCAGTCCAAGGCCAACCTGCAGAGGAGATGGAGACAGAGGTGAGTGGGGGCTGAAGGACCCCAGCAGGGCTGGTGGCCCTATGGATGCAGATCCCCACCTTGTACAGCTTGGGCTTGTGGGGCTGGAAGTCATCAGGGACACAGGGTCGGATCTCCTCGGGCTGCCCCCCCAGCACCTCCCAGAATTCGGGGGTCTCCTGGCCCTGGGTGAGCAGCGTGATCTCGGCCTTGCCCTTCCGCTCGTTCTTGTTGATCTTCTCGGCGAAGAGCCTGCAGTGGGAGCAGGTGAGATGGCAGCTGGGCTCCCCACACCCCGGCACCCCCACCAGCCCTACCTGGCCTTGGTGGTGCTGCTCAGCGTGGCCTGGCTCCCACGCCACACCAGGAGGTCGAGGCCGTGGTCCAGGAGGAAAACAAACCTGGTGGAGAGAGGTGAGAGGAGTCAGGAGAGAATGGGGTGTGCTGAGCATCCTCCCCATCCTGGGGATCCCTGCAGGGCACCAAGGGGGGGTTTGAACCCGTATTTTTGTAGAAAGGTACTGGCATAGCCCATTTGCACCACAGAACTGCAGCTATAATGTCTCAGGTGGATCCTGCTAAACCTCCTAAAGGTTCCTCTGTCCCCTGGCCACTCACCGGGGGTCCAGCGATGTCCCTTTCAGTGCCACCGGCTCCAGCTTGACATTCTTCTTCCCATAGACACGGTAGAGCCTGGGGAAGGGACAGGCATGGTGGGACATGGGGCACTGCCTGCCCCACACATCCCCCCAGCCCCTGTCCCCAGCTGTACCTGGTGACATACTGCGTGTCCTCAACGGTGAAGAAACCGCTGGCCGTGCCACCCTCGATGTAGGAGATGTCATTGTCAAAGACCTGGGGGCAGGGAGGGGGTGAGGGTGGGACAGGAGGAGCTGGGGGCTACAGGGGAGCTGGGGATTGGCCTCACCTGCAGGAACTCCTCACTCTCATCCCCCATCTCCTCCCGGATGCTGCGGCACTCAGCCCCCAGGTAGTTGCGGAGGTTGACGGCGTGGATGGCTGAACAGGCCTTCTTGTCCAGTGTGGCCTCCTGCCCGATCCAGTAGTAGATCTCCCAGTTCAGGGAACCATTCTCATCCAGGAAGGTC